ATAGTCTTTTTTATTTGCTTCGTTTCATCTTTCGAAAAACGAAAGAAACTCGTCTCTTTATCCCGTTTATATAATGATAAACAGCCGTACATTGCACAACTCACGACCATTATAAATGAGATTATCCGTTTTCGTTACTTTTTTGTTCTCTGCCCGCATTAAAGAAACCACAGGACACATAGACAACCACAAATTACACCCAAACTCACGAGAGAAATAAAAATGTAGGCCATACAAATATTTCTCCCGGCCCGGAAATCGAATCTGGGATCTCTGAGTAGATAGTTATTGGCGGTTCTGGCGCAATCGTTCAGTGGGAGTGTGGACCTTAGATGGTACGGTTTATGTGCGAGAATGGTTTGGCAGCGTGAAGGAGTTATGTCATTATGTTTCTGAGTGAGTTTTGGTGTTGGTTGGTGAGTTGTGGTTCGTGTGGGTCTTACTGGGTTGGTATACGGTTGATGATGGGCGGTGTTTGTTGGTGTGGGGTTAAATGGTGAGTTGTGATGTTTTGCTGTTGGTGTGGGGGCTGTGGGGTCGCGGGGGTCAGGTAACGTTGGTCGGTCGTGTTGTTTGGTGCGGCTCTGGCGCTCGTGGTGAGCCGCGGAGTCGACGCCGACAGACAGTGTGAGGCAGTTAAACAAAAAAATCATTAAAACATTCACTTAATATTAATAAAACATTATTTTATTTTGCTGGGGTAGCCTATGCAACATTACAATCTTTAATTAGCAAAACACTATGTATAGAAGCTATTGTTAAGCTGAACTAAATGTCAGTATAAACGTAGAAGTTATTTAAAGGGAAAACTAACAAAGGACACCTGATTATTATTCGCAGGCTCTACTTACTAGGAGTACTCTGCCTGGGAAACTTCGCCATTATCGAGTTGCGGGCCGTGACCTCAACCTTCTTAAATCGTATTTGAGTGCCCTATGCACAGTGAGTCGATGTCGAAGGTACGAGATTATCAGTCTACAATTAGCATATAGATGGCCCTCGTCGTTGTAGGTCTATTTTTAGTTTATATTAATGACTTACCTAGTCAAAAGAAAGGTGTGGAACATGAGATAATTTCATGCCCATAAAAAGTCATTAATTGATTGTTTGGATTTATGTTTTTTTATAACTAACTATATTGCTTGGTTTACACTTGTGCACTAAGAAACAATGAAATGTTATTGCAGTTAATGTTATTATATTTCATTTTTAATTTTATTATTTATTTAAATTTAATTTAATTTTCGTAAATTTATTTCAATTATCATGTTCAAAAATTATAAATATTTATAGTTTTTATAACTTTCTAAGTCAGCATTTGGGTGAGTAATGAGCTTACCTGTAACTGGAATGCATATAAGAACAATGCAGAATGTAACCCCTAGTATAAGCATTGTATGTAACTCTGTTGGTTTGCCAAATAAATAATTAAATAATACTGTTTGATGATGATACTTCCTTATTATTTAAAATTAAAAGGTTTGTACCTACGACGCATGATGATGTGAATAATGCTATTTCTAAGTTAGTTGAATGGGTTGCAGTTAATAACCTGCTCCATAATGAGACAAAACCACTGTGCAATTAACTTCACCTAATGTTAGCACAAATATATAGTCAGAAGCACGAAAACTGTAACGTTGCAGATACAGTCGTAGTTTTAGGTATAACTTTCAATTCCGAATTGCAACAGGGTCCATAAATAACTCAGTTATCGAAACAGCTCATCTCTGGATTAAAAAATAGGATTTTTTTTAATGATAACACACACTCGACATAGCTCCGCACTAGGGAAACCCTGTGTCGCGGGTGCCGTGGACAAGCACAAGTTACACCCAAGCTAACGAGAGAAATAAATGTAGGCCATACAAATATTTCTCCAGGCCCGGGAATCGAAGCTGGATCCTCTGCGTGGCAGTCCGGTGTGGTAACCGTTCGGCCACGGAGGCAGTTAAACGCAAAAAGCCCTAAATTGGTTTACTTTGGCTACTTTTATATTTTAATGACATACGGCATTACCGACGGTAATAGAAGAGTCTTTGTCCTGCATAAACGTGCTGTTATGGCAATTATACTTCGTTTCAATCCATTTTAAACAAAAAGTAAACAAAGTGACCCGACCTTAGACGGTTTAGTTATGGCTAATTGTAAAGCCAACTACAAATCGATTAATTAATTGAATAAATCGATTTGTTCAATTGAGTCATAATAGCTGTTTTCATTACATAACCTATATAAGCATATTTAAAAATTCCGCAATCTTCATTTTAAATCCCCTTCAAATTCTTACACTAAAAATACTCATTTGATTGCGATTGAAATGTTCGATTTAATAATCGATTACTAAACTTTAATTGATTGAACCGAATGTTTTTTTTTTCGAACAGCAATATGCAACCATTGATTGGCAAGTCATAGAAGTATAGATGAATAATAACCTCACTTTTAGACTACCATTTTTCAAATACGATTTTACGATGCTATTCAAATGAATATTGTTGGAAAAAGTGATGATATATCAAGTCGAAATCTTCGAAATATACGTGAAAGTGTTACTTATTCGATTTATTGAGTGATTACTTTAGAATTTTAGACAAACAGTTTTGCTTACTTTTTGTTCCAAATGGATTAGAATAGACTATACAATCTGGAACCCAGAGTCTTTACATTCGAATGTATTTTTTAAAATATAACTCATCGGTCTCATTAACTAATGGTGGTTGTTGATCGTTTTATAACCGATCAGTTTTTAGAAGAAAAAAAAAGAAAAAAGTTTTCAGCGTTAGCATGATTCAGGCCCTGAATTTTCTTATGACACTTACCTGTACCAGAGACAAACTGCTGTCATCAGAACTAGAGCAGCGCACATCTGTAAAATCTCGTATGATCCTCTTGTACTTGAGCAAAAGACTCTGAAAGCGCGGGATGAAGTGGCAGTCGCACCTCCAAGGGTTATGTCCAAGAAACACTTGCATTATATTTACATTACTTTGAAGTGCTTTGTCAAACGCGTATACTGGGATCTGAAAGGACAATATCTAATAAATTGCACATAATAACCAAGTCGTTTTCGGTATAGTATACAATACGATAAAGTTCTTCGACATTTCTTCGACAAGAATATTCGACAAAGTGGAAATGACTAATCAAATTTTTCTTCAAATTTCATTAGTACATATAAAACTTGAGCAAATTTCTCCTAATTTGAAATTATTTTCTTTAAAATCGTTTAGGCAAATGAAGGGAAAATACAAAAATATCTTAACCAATTTGCATATCTTCGTCTCTTGTAATAGCGTTAATTTTCGCTCTAGACCGTAAATGTTTCGCTCTAGGTCGTAAATGCTATTTTGTGAACAATGATAAAAAATCCGTGTCTCGAAATACTAGTCAGGGTATAACTAAATAATTGGGAAAGAGAATTGAGAGCAAGGAAACGTGAGCCACTTAGCATGTTTTCAAAGGATCCTACGCACTTATTTTTATTTCATTCTGGAGTTGAACGTGCTTATGTTCAAGCAGGCGAAAAATTGTGTGATTCATAGGAGTCAAAAATTTAACTGGCTGAATTACACAAACTGTCGCTTTTTAAGTTTCTGAACATTAACAATAAAATTGTTATTGTAGTATAATTGAGTTGCTCGCACCTGTCCCATCCCAGGTGTAGAATTTTAAACAGTAAAAAAAATTTAAAAAAAAATTACCTCTCATCTAAATTCGGTATATTTTGTTGTTACATAAAGTACATAACGCTCGGTACGCAATTTTTACTAAAACTCGACTGATTTCTGATAATGCAAATTTAACTCTATGTCGCGATTGTTTGATATCTGTAAAGCTCGGACGACTGGGCGCGAGGGCAACATAAGAGTCGAAATGCAAAACTGTGATGCGGTGTCGCATCGCAGAAATGTACGAGCTCGCACAACGCATCGCAAGAATTTGCGAATTTTTCCACATCGCGCATTCTTGCGATGTTAATCTTCTTTGTGTTTTTTTCCTATACTTTCTTATCAATAACAGCAGTACAAAACTCTTTTTACGATCCATGTCGCTACCTAGTTTAAAAAATACGTTCAGTACGGTTGATGATCGTCGAAGAAATGGTCACCCGAACCGTAGCAGTGAGAACCGTAGCCATGCCGCACGAAATCGCAACGCAGCAATTCGCGTCGTAGTTTTCTGCGTTGCGAATTATCATCGCGCCGATTCGCTGTTTTGTGTTTCGACCCTAAAGCGCGAGATACTGCTATTCTTGCATAGAGATCTCGCGCTTTATGTCGCTCTCACGCAAGACGCGCCCTGTCGTGCTAACCCTACAGTACCACCAGCACCGTATGCACAGGTATCTGATTGGTAGCCCTCGTAGTGACGGCTAAATTCTTATATGAATATTTACTTACCTGTTTAAGCAAATTCCCTTTCAAGCTAAGCACTCGAAAAGAGGTGAACCATTCAGATCCTTCCAGTTCCTTCACTGTTGATATACTATTGTTGTCCAGATACAAGTCTGCCAGCTTCTGATAGTGTGGGTTCTGAATTATACTCCTTATTGTGTTTATCTGTAGAAATTATAAAGACTCATAAATTTCCGAATTTGTAAGCGTTTTTGCTTATTTAAAATTAAATTATATGAACAGTACAGTACAAGTCCAAATAGTAGGTGTTTACTACAATGTCAGTAGAATGAAGTGTTCATTTTCATGAAAAAGGATGGACATTTAGACCTTAAGAAGACTGTTGCTGCTGCCCAACTCTCTTCTTCATTCTGACCGACAGGAATTCCACACTTTCGTGAACGACTGCCTGAAAACACTCCACTTTAACCTCCGCGAACATCCCTAGGGCGCTACAGTGTCGAGGCAGCCCCTGCAGTCCCCCGAGGTCGTTGTTGATTTGGTCACGCAAGGCGCTGTAGGCTTTTGTGTTATTGCTCCACAGGTTGCACGTATATAAGGTGTGGCAATATGTTTTGATTTTAACCTCATTTGAGCATCGTGCAAAAAAATAGTCACTCAAAAATTACCACACACGCTATCGCACATAAACATCATTACCGTTGGGAGGGTGATGTTTACACGACTGTACAGTTTTGGCTTCATTTTCACCAAGTTAATTAAGTAAAGAAGCCTATTATAAAAAGAAACAAGCATCGGTGATTGGGTTCATAAATTGGCATACATACAAATTAGGATCGATATTATATAAGCTCACATATATCACAGTACTCTCTGAACTGAAAATGCGGGATCGCATAGTGTTTTGTGACGTCCACATTTTATTTCAGTTTATATATGATATTAATATTTATTATAATAATAATCACGCGCACACACTCATAGCCCCGCACTAGGGGCTTTTTTATCTTTTATCTTCATACTCTGCCGAATTAAGTTAGTGATTTTCACAGAAGCGGTTACGTTAGCTGTTTTCTACAAACCCTAAAATTAACACTAACTAATTACGTGAAATATTGCGTCGGCATTGATTTTTATTTTTTCAGAGTTGTCACTTTCAAATGAGATAAAATTACTGCATTTAAGAGTGACTATTTTATATCTTAAAAACAACTATTTATTCATTTATTTAATAGGAAAGTGAACATGATATCTAAAGTAATTAAATCACTACAAGGACTTACTTTTAAATCACAATTGACAAAATAGCTTTTGACACATTGCTTTTAAAATAATTAAGAATATTTAGTAGTTACAAATATCAATTGATATTAATTCGAAATGCAAATGTAATAATTGTAGAGACAAATATGAAATGCCATTAGCATTTGCACACCTGCGAGCAGGTTGAATACGATGTACCTAATTTTACTCAAGATCTGTATAAATCTGTATTCTGGCAAATAAACGTATTCTATTTATTCTATTCTTAAAGGTAGCTACACCATACTTATTGAAATAAAACTATATAATAATATAGTTTCATTTCATATTTGTAACAATCGCGAAAATTTAAAAACTCGATGAGGTACGGATAGTCAATTAATTAATAGTAGTATAATAGCAAAGAATATAAACGTATAATGACAAATTACATTATATTTTCCTTCAACAAAAAGAACATCTGTCTAATACTACGATTTGTCATAACCTTCGTAGGAGGACTGACGAATATTTTCGTGTGATGTTGTTGTGGTCATATTTCCTACTTATAGACGGCAACACTAAAGCGGCTCTGGAAAGCTTAAAGTGGCTAAAGGTAAGGTATATTTTTAAATATTTCCGCGTTAGAATAAGTCTTTGTGCACAAATTAAACAACAAAACCCGATTACTCATAGTAATAAGTCGCCATATGTTCTCTTGAATCCTAAAAATCCTTACACTCCACTGCTCCACAGCCGAAAATTAACTGAATGTTATATATATTGTAAGAGATGATAAAAGAGGAAAAGGAAGGCCCAAAAGGGCCTATATACTATTTAATTTTAATCGTAATCGACGTTAAGTTTAACAATAACGAATTGGAGGAGATTTGTGATTTACGGACACGTGCTCTCGTTCCAAGAATTTTGACGGGAATGACGTCGTAAGAATTGTGAAGGAAGAGGGAATTCATAACGATTCAAAATTTAAAAAATAAGTGTCTAGGAACTGGAAAAGAGGATGTTAAAAAGGTGACGACAAAAGAGGTCAGTATCGTCACACGTCCAGTTGCAGTTGATGCCTCTGGTGACCAGAGAGTAAGTTTAGCCATCCAAAGAAAAAACGTTGCTAGCCACCTGAATGCAAAAGTAAAAATTTAAAATTAAATAGGCGCTAGACGCGCCGTTTTGCACTTCTGTTGAAGTACAAAAAGGCGCATGTAGCGCCTAATGGTTCGGTATTGTCTTTGCTCGAGAATAACACATTAATTTCAGCAATTATTGTGTTATTGTGTGAAAATCACTACTATCGCATGCAGAATTTAATAAAACGGTGAGAAAAGATTAATCTACATTACGTAAAGACACAAATAAATATCTACCGACGTTCATTCGACACATTCGGCATTTATAAAGGACAGAGGGATCGTATTTACGTTGTTAGCTAATACGTGATCTCCAATATCGCTTTAATGCTTACGAAGCGCGTGTATAATATTTGGTACTTACAGTAATAAAGGGCGATAAAAAACAACTTCGATACCGCTGTCCGTTTGTTGTGTATGTATTCATCATGCTTCTCAGAATCATAATATGTATTTACATCAAAAGCATTCTATATCGATGATTCGTAAAGTATTCTATATCAACCCCCAGGAGTACTGGAGTGTACACTCCAACCTCCAACAAGGGGTCCAAATCGCCAAAAAAAAATAGGCGGTACATAAGACGTTCATGGTGGTGTGGAGATGAATCCTATTTAAGGCTAATCGTGATCAAAATGTTGGCTGTCCATAAATGGAATAATCCGCATTACACGGATAGTAACTATTCGACGACCTCGGGGGCCTAACGATTTACACTGTGGGCGCTGGATGCGGCGGTCACGGGTTCGATTCCCGGTTTTGTAAATGAACTTTTGTAAATTAGTTCTAGTCTGGGTTTTCTGGGAAGTGCCCCTAAGTGAATTGCCGTTGGTCTGATACTCATAGTACAGGGAATTCCCTAGTTTGAGATCAGGCAATTGGTGTGGTCGTATGGCACATTACTATTATGTAATTTCATTTCTTATAATAGACATATATAAATTACCTATGTAGTAAAGATATCACAAAAAAAAAGATGGTGCTATGAATATTCGGTCAGATTAATGCATAAAACTTATTTATTTATTAAGTAGTAACACATCCTATATTACAGCATTTGAACATGTGTTTCAGTTTTGTAAAGATTCTCAGTCTACAGCTAAACTTATGAAAGTGATTAGCAATGTGTTAGATGACAAAAACACATTTAAAGTTGATGATTTTGTAAAAAATCCATATTAGGAATTCAGGGGGCCAAGTTTGGGAACCTCTGTTCTATGTATTACATGTCTGTTGTTGTATACATGGATATGAATCAAAGAGATAATCGCGAGAACATGTACATAACATACTAATAATAATAATATTTAATATAATTTTTATTACACACAAGTACAAAACACACAGTCAAACAATGCTACACAAGACGGGGCATCAGCCAGCTTGATTGCTTTATCTATTATAAAAGTATAATGTTACACCTTAATAAATAGGGAAAAAACCTAAATATTTGAAAAATATAAGTCAAACAAACCCATATTTACGCAATTTTCACAAGAAAAAGACAGGCAGGTGTTAAATAGAGTTATTGCAGGGGAAAGGTATAGTAATTTATTTATTAGCTCACGATATTTATAGTGTGTTTTAAATAAAGTTTTGAAAAATCCAATATACTTAACACGTTGGATCGACAGAGGTAGATCATAAAATGAATCAGTTTTACTCTCTTTTTAATAAATTAAAAGGTTTTTTCTCTAGTTTACCGTATCCAACCTAAGTCGATTTTTTACATAACTTTCAGTTTGTTACGCGAAACAATTAGTGTTGGCCAACGCAAGACCTACCCCGGGACAAACCCCTGTCTTGGTCTCGTAAGTCTATCAAATTACCTATTACTACTTATCAAACTATGATATTCTACAATTCTTACAAAAAATGACAGTGTTCTAGATTTTTGTTCTCAGACATTTTGAGTACATATTTATAGTGAAGGCCAACCAAATGACGAAACCGTATATACAATACTTTGCAATATTTTTATCATCATTATTAGTCATAATATGCTAAACCTGCGCATAAAATTACATACAAGCTATGACCCGCACGAGGACGCCGCGTGCCTCTCGCGTCGGATCATTAGTTGATTTTTTAGACTCAGTTTTGTTCTTGCTCAAATCTTGCACAAATCCTAATCTAAGACCATAGATATGTCTAAGAATGATATTGAGCAACACTAAATACACTTATTTTTAGGCCGATTTAAAAAGGAGGTTTTCAATTCGATTGCATTTTTTGTGTGCGCATGTTACGCAATTACTCCGACATTTGTGAACCGATTTCGATAATTCTATTTTTGTTGCAAAGCGTACATCGATAGTGCCTCCATACAAATTTGAAGAAAATATTCCACACGGCGACCGCGTGGCCATAAATATTATTGGCCACGCGGTCGCCGAGTGGAACCCGCGTTGCCGCCGCGCGGCGACCGCGTGCGCCTAGCTGTCATGGCAAAATACGCTTTATTTTTTTAGCTTTTACGTTTTAACTTAAATAAGCGTCCCGGGCACGCGGGCGAGACTGGCTTGAATTTGGTCTACGCGGCGGCCGCGCGACGACCGCGCGGTTGTATTATTCAGAGGAATTTAAATGTTGTTGCCTAGTAAATAGAATTCAGATTCGCCATTAATGTACATGAAGACGTAGTAACTGGGCGGTAGCCACGCGACGGCCTTTGTCGTCCAGTTACACGAGGAAAACTTTCTCCTCATGTAAGTGGGCGCTAAGGCTGACAAATTAGAGGATGAGTCCGGTTTACTGCATTTATCCCACTTTCCGCTGACGGATTTCAATTCAAAAAAATTTTGTTAATAGCTAATC